GGTGGTAAGGCGGCCATCAGGTTCTCTATAAACTGACGTGTCGAGAAAGGCGATCCTGCTTTTATTCTCGATCTCCATGGTGAAACGGATTGATGGTTGTTGACTGTTTAGGTATTGCAGGAAATCGTCAACTCTGTCCCGATCCAGGATAGTGAAAGTATCACCTACGTAGCGTTTCCAGATCTTAGGCTTGCAAGGTGCGGACTCTATTGCTTGTTCTTCAAATATCTCCATGTAGAGATTGGCAATAACCGCGGATACAGGGCTCCCCATGGCTGTGCCGTCTCGTTGTTCGTAAATCGATCCGTTGTGCTGGAAGTACGTAGATCTTAATACGAAATTCAAGAGGTCCGCGATTTGAACTGGTGTAAGTGTCGTGCGGTCAGTCAGGCCTGCGTCGTTCTCCATTTTTTCTAGCGCGGCTTGTACGGCGCCCTCGATCGGTACGTTGGTAAACAGTGACTCTACGTCGAAGGACACCATGATCTCGTGGTCCTGGATCTCTTCACTGGCGATGGTGGAGGCGAAGTCAGTTGAGTTCTTCACTGTGAAGTTCGAGCTACCTGAGATAATACGTTAGGGTAACGTATTATCTCCTCTTGGGAGTCCAGACATCTTCTGACTTTGCTTTAAGAATAGCGTTATGGTCAGGTGGCTTGTACAGCGGCGGCACTGCTCCCTTCGTGCAGTACTGCACTCTTTCTTGTAACGCCTTCACCACCTCTGGAAGCTTCTCACTGAGGTCTTTTTGTTTTTTTGGGGTCAGCGGTGATGTTGTATAGAGCAACACGAAGAGGATTTCTAGTGCCCTAAGACATAAGTGTGCCTAATTAATAATATTGCTTGCCTCTAAGAAAGTGTGGATGGCATACCTTCCTGTCATCAAAGCACTTCTCGTAGGAGTACAAATCGGAAGAACGTATAATAGTTGTCGAGCACGACTCCTTCCGAAGCCAACATGGCAATGTTTGGAGTTTGGATTTTTGAGCCGTGAAATCCAATATCGCTCCAGTCAAGATCATCAACCACAACAAAAAGTATGTGTGGAGGTGAAGCGGCTCCATTCACGACAGGCAGAAGCACAGCCATTAAACTGTTAAGAAGTAACAGCGCACAAAAATCCTTGGACGGCATGTTGAATTCACAAGATCGCTGCCCCGGGTGGAGGACTCACGCACAAAATGGACAGGGGTACTCGTCGTACCTTTTAGGGGTTAATCAAAGAGCTCTTAGAGCCTACTTCTGAATGCAAAGGCCTTTGTCTGATTCAATTCTTACTGATGTAAGTTTAAATTCAAAAACTGAAACGAAATGCATTCCTTGCCTTGTTGCTATGCGTTGTTGCTATGCGCTGTTGACAGGCGCTATTGCGGTCGGCGAAGAGCTTGAAACAAGGAGTGCGGTGCTTGATGGTCAGGTAGCTGGTGTGGCAAGTAACGTTCTCTCTTAAAGCTCTTACACCTCTTAACGGCTTAGACTTCCGAACCTAATTTTCTGCTCTTGCTCTTTTATGTTGAGCTGGTCAAAACTGTCAATCAAGCATCAAACTGACATCTAGGCTTACGTAAGGACTTGCGCAGTGCACGCTAAGCCGCACCATGCTTGCGCAGGAGAGTCACTACCATATTTTCCTTCGACCGAATACCAGAGTCGAAATCTTTTTCATTTTACATTTTCTTTATGATTCCACGAGAGTCTGACCAAAACAAAACAACGAGAGCAATATAAAAATCACAAAAATGGTTTTTACAGAATTGAATTAAAATATACGTTACAGCAATGTATAGAAAAACTAAAACAAAGATTGTTGTGCAACCGTTATCGAACAACAACTCCCGCTTACTTATTGAAGAAGAAAGGCGGCCCTACTGGTTACGCCTTAAATCCATTAATCAATTAATCCATTAATCAATTACAGAAATCAATTCACATAGGTTCTAACGTACGTGTTACAAAGTTCTTTTGAAGAAACCAACTTCTGAACGGTTTTCAGCGATTAACACCTTTGGGTTTTAATCAGAGTGTTACTAGGAGATATTTAGTACAAGCTAAAATTGTCCATTTGTACTCTTCACTAAAGAATAAAGGTTTGCTGTGTTTTTACATCGAAGAAAATAAAACTTTACTTTAAGAACAAAACACACCATGAATAACAATAAATTATTCCAAGAAAAATTGCCAGGTAAATCTACATTTTAGCAATTCACCTGGTCATTACACTAAGCCCAAATGAAGATAACCATTCCAATTAAAATAACACCAACTACAACACTTAATGAACAACGTTCTCTTTGAGGTAAGTTAAGTCTGATGTTTTTTTTTTCATCAAGGATTTCCAACAACGGTTCTCTCTAAAAATATTCATTTTTTTGTTCTTTAACAAACGGCTGCATTAATTCAACTTTTCTACAAGTCCCCATCTGGCATCAATTTGTGACTTTCTTACCCTTTTATAACTTGTATAAAGAAATAGCTGAAAAAAATAGCTGAAAGCCACAAGGAGACTGATTATGACAAAGTGTTGAACTGTCTGAATACATATGAAGACATGATTGATCATCGCAGTTATATACACAACTTAAGCAGTTGTACAATTTAAGCCTGAAAAAATTCAGGCTTGAACGGCATTCGAACCCATGACCTCTGCCATACCGGTGCAATGCTCTACCAACTCAGCTATCAAGCCAAATGGGAGCTGGTCACGTTGTGAGTTCGTTCGTAATATACCCGTAGATGATAAAAATACAAGTGAACATATAAAAGATCATATATTTGAACGGCGGGAGAAAGATATGAAGACATGATTGATCATTTGTGTTTGAATAGAGGTGAATTTCATTGGCTAGTTTCCTTACTTTTCCTAAACCAGATATGATGCTTGTTCTTTTTGTTAAAACTCTTCTGGAGCTAAAACGAAAGACAAGAAAACAGCTTTTCAACCGTCTATGAAATGCCTTTTTGTAGGACGTTATCTAAAATATGCATGATCATGTTCAAAGGTCGTTCTTGGGTGAAAACTTGTGAGGGATAGAACCGTTTTAGTTCTTAGACTTCATGAGCTAGGATTTTACCAACAATCTAGACGTAATAATTCCTCACAACTTTTCTATGAGAAGAAAAAATGCGGTCAGCGCCAAATGCAGACTGCCGCCTAACACTCACAAGAGGAATGGACGTTTGATTAGCATCTAGAGCTGAGCTGTTTTCGACTGAGTATCGTAAAACCAAAACCAAAAGAATTACTCTGGCCAATTACAAACTACACAGAAGCTCCAGTTAATTAATCAAAACTCAAAGCAAATGCACGTAAGCGATGCAAAGCGCGGGAAAACGTGTGTTAACCACTCACGATTGGTTTTGGTTTTACGTGATTGGTTGAGAATGTGGGGCGAGTTTTTTTCAGCCAATCGCTTAACGCGGTAATGCAAAACTACAGCAAATGCGAATTACTGTCAACACTCAAATGAAAACCACTCTAATCCAGTATTAGAGCGGTTTTCAATTGAGTGTCCGGCGTAAAACCAAAACAATAACTTAACAATTACTAACTACTCAGCCAATCTCAAACTGTAGTAAAACCAAAACCAAAGTAATTGCCTGATTACCTTCGACACTCAATTGAAAACCGCTCTAGCAGTCAACTTATTTCATCATCTGAGGCCGAGTTATAAGATACCCCACAGCCATCTATGATCCAACTTATTCTACAACCTAGACCACTGCTTGACAGAGCTGGATTTAGCTGGAATTACGATCAAATAAGACTCCTCTGTGGCATAGTGCCTCAGTGACACTTGTAAAAGGCCCATGAGCCACCAAGGGCATTTTATCCTCAGTGAGCCTTCAGAGAGGGTGAGTCTATGGCTGCTAACATCATTTCTATTCCAAAAAATGTGTTAGAGTTCATCGAGGTCGCGTGTTTTTGAAGTTGACAGCTTCCCAGGTTCTGGTTTTTGATTGGATTGCAGCCTCAAGCTAGACTGACTTTTTGTATTTATCAGTAGCTCCACTGTTAGACTTTGCTAAAACTATATATTATTATAAATGTATGTAATGGCGAATTGAAGTTTCAATGTTTTTTAACATCATATCTGCATAAATATTGAATGCTTATTAAAGAACTGTTGTTTAAAAGTGCAATTGTAATATGTATTTAAGCCCGGCGTCAATAAAAATAGATCATGACATTTGACCCTACCTTGTTAATACGGCCACCCTATTAATAATGTCAAATTTTCATGGCCCGCTGGTGACTGCATTAATGGAGTGCTACTGTTAAAGTCTAAACTACAGATATCACAGTACCTAAAAGTTGAACACCGTCAAAACTTTTTAACATACATCTTAACCAAAAGGTCCTTTAATCTTGCCAAGGAGTCCAGACACCTTCCGATTTTGCTTTAAGACGAGCCTTAGGATCAGGTGGCGTGTTCAGTGGCGGCACTGCTCCCTTCATGTAGTACTCCACTCTTTCTTGTAATGCCTTGACCACCTCTGGAAGCTTCTCGCTGAGGTCTTCACGTTCTGTTGGGTCAGCAGTGATATTGTACAAAGCAACACCCATAGAGCGTCCCTTGACCTGATGAATAAATGTACCTTATAAATAATGTAAAGACCAAAAGAAGATGGGTAACATGAAAAACATTTTTCAGAGATTGATCATTGTTTTGTGCGTGTAAGTTTACATGTTAATATGAGGGAATGTTCCAAAGTTGTAATTTTGACCTTATAAAAAACTACTAAGTTACAGCCATTTTCAATTGAGTGTGAAAAGTAATCAGGCAATTACTTCAGTTTTGGTTGTGGTATTACTGCAGGTTTGAAATTGGCTGAGTAGATTAATCGGTAAGTAATTAGTTTGGTTTTGGTTTTAAAACCCTCAATTGAAAACCACTCTATGATCACCACAACACCAGCCATAGCAAAATTTATGGGCACACTAATTGCTTAACGGACTAGTCTGTCCAACAATGTGAAGTCCTTCCTTAAGCATTTTTTTGATCCCATAGATGACCCACGTTAAATAAACAAAGTCACTTGTGTAATATGCAAACTCAGAGTTATCTGGATGCAGAAAAATATCACCTCATAAATTAACTATAGGACTGCGACAGTCTACTACATACTATACCTTGGTTGCAGTTCCTAACCAATCCAACTGCCCATGTTCTTCTTGTGGTATGCCTTGCTCCTTCCCTGACTTTCCTCCAAGTTCTGGAGGTTTATACCAGGTATCATAAGGTACATTCATAAGAAGCTTCATGTCACCCATTCTCAGAGCAATTCCTTGAAATTCAGGAAAGCTTAAAACGCCACTTTTGATTGTTCTCAAAGCAATTCCATCATAAGTGGAAACGCTTAAATAGTCACTTTTGGTTGTGTTCTTCAAGTCAATATTGAGAAGTATTTCCTTTCTCGGTGAAGGCTCACCGTGGGAAATGGTGTTCCATACATCCATGCCATCTAGTGGTGGTAGCGCCTGATCTTGACTGCCACCTGCTTGGAAGAAAAAAGCAGTACTAAATCATTGGTCTTGATTATACAGTCGAACCTCCAGTTGCGACCACCTCTTCTCAGTGACCAGTCTTCCAAAATACCAAACATTTCCAAGCCCAATCACTATATTTGGAACCTCTCGTAAGCGACCACGATCACTTTTAGAGCAAAAAGTTTAAAATTTTCTTCTACCAAAATTTACATTGCACGCATTCCCTTCTCATCCCCTCAATCATGCTTCATTTTCTCTTATGCTGTGTGCCTGCACCTGAATTCAATTTCTGCCTAAAGTAAATCAAAGTCCGCTACAAAGGCTAATTTCTCGTTAAAACAACTATAAAATATCACTGTATGAGTGCTACAACCAGTAGTAAAAGTAGATGAGACATCCTGCCTTAATGAGAGACAAATCTTCACTCCACTATAGCGTGTAGTTTTTCTCCGACCCCCTCCCCCCCTCCCCTTTTCCAATGTTGCTAGGCATGCAAAATCAAGTACAGAACTTAGATGAACAACACTGAATCGAGGAGAGGGAGGCTAATTGTTATTCTACGACGAATTTGGTATTTGCGATCCATTTACGTAAGTAAAGCCATTTTTTTGCACCAAGTGTATTAACATTTTTGAAACTAGTAGTAGCAGCCTTGTCAAGACTAGATTTAATAGCAATGGCAACTGGTCATGCCACTGAGCTGCAAAAAATTTCATGTTCTCCTCTATGCAGGTCAATCTTGTTCACCCAAATAGAGATATGCCCAAGTTGCTTGTTGTTTTGAATACAAAACACATTCAAAAACAGTAAAACATGCACTGTACCTACAAGTTTCACCAATGTTGGATACCAGTCTGTAACATGCAGGAGTTCTTTGCATTTGACTCCTCTTCTACCAAGCATGTTCCCATGAACAAAACTGATGCCTCTCGCCCCTCCCTCCCATAACGTATGCTTCTCTCCACGGAGAGGAAAGTTGTATCCCCCATAACGATGCACTCCTCCATTATCAGTTGTCAAAACCATCAAGGTGTCCTCCCACAGCCTGCAATGTCACAAAACCAAGTTTGAAATTGTTCAAATGTATGGTCAAATGCTTGTATAATTTATAGTTGCATAGTTACTATTGCATAGTTACTTGTAAAGTTACTACTCATGAAGACATGATTGATCATCGCTGTTATATACACAACTTAAACAGTTGTGAAATTTAAGCCTGAAAAAACATTGAGGCCTGAAAGGGATACGAACCCATAACCTCTGCAATACAGATGCAGTGCTATACCAACTGAGCTATCATGCCAACTGGGAGCTGGTCACATTATACACCCGTAGATGGTAAAGAATGCAAATGAATATATGAAAGATCATATATTTGAACTGCAGAGAAAGATATGAAGACATAGACGATCGTCGCAGTTATAAACACAACTTAAACAGTTGTGAAATTAAAGCCTGAAAAAAATTCAGGCCTGAAAGGGATTTTTTTCAGGCTTTAATTTCACAACTGTTTAAGTTGTGCATATAACTGCAATGATCATCAAAGTCCATATCTTTCCCTGCAGTTCAAATATATGATCTTTCATATATTTGCAAAGTTACATGTACTACTCCTTGCTATTGAGGATGTCAACAGTCTAGCTTCCTCTTCATTTTTTGAGGTCCAGAAGTATGTGCTTTCATTACATTTCTGCTGTACATCACTAAGCACTCAAGACAAGTTATTGGTATCAGAGGTATCATACCCAGCATCCTTCATGGCCTCTGTGATGTTGCCGACAGCTTCATCCATGATATCCACCATACCAGCATATGTTCTACGAGTTTTATCCTCAATAAAGCTGTATTTGTCTGTATACTTTTGGGGTGCTTGGTCAGGTGCATGGACATTTTGGAATGCCATATACAAGAACAAGGGTTTTGATGCATTGTGAGTCTTAATGATGTCCTTTGCCCGCTGAAATTAAGAAAATGCACAATGCTTGTAAAACAGAAAGTTTTGGAAAGTATGAAAACACAGCTTAACACTAAACCCTGCCGTATACAAAAGCTGGCATTTTAGTTATCAGGATTTTAGGCTTGGAACTGCCGTGTGTGTTGCAAAGAAAACTTGCAAACAAAGTTACAACTAAGAAATCAAAAAGAACTACTGTAGTTTGTGTTCAAAACCTCAGAATTTGAACTCCCAACCTCCCACTTTTAAGCTTGTTTAGAGCTCTTTAAATATCAGGAGCATTATTCTAGTTAATTTAACAAACCATTCGCTTAGCAGGCTCTCCTGATCAGCAGTCATACTCACAAGTGCAGGCTCACATGAAAAATTGCAGCTTAATCGCGGCTGGATCTTCTTTGAGTTCTTCCAGTGATTTCAAGTGCTTTTTGTGGAGGTTTGAGACAAGTGTCTCTGGACACTTCCTCAACTTCACCTCCCTATCCCTACCCACATTGCACTGTTGATTTCTATCCATTCTACCACATAGCAATATTTTAACATATTTATTTTGGGGGACCATGGGGTAGGTGGGTTTGAAAAGTGGAACAATGACTTTACAGTACAACAGGATTTGTTGCAGGGAACCTCTTGATTAACTGTCCCAAGCTCTTGCACTGCAGTTACAGGATACAAATAAAAGTACATGAATCCACTAATAGAAGAGCACAAAAATTATGTATTCTAAATACCTCTGCAAAAGCAAATGTACCAAATTCCCCATCCAGATCTCTTACTGGTTCCTTGTTGTCTCGAAAGTCTAATATCTTCAGTACCTTATGAGTGTAGTGGTCTTCTGCTCCATTGTAATAGCCATAAAATGTATCAAACCCACGATATGTAGGAGTGTAGTCCCATTTGGTATAACCCAAGTGCCATTTACCCACCATATGAGTTACATAACCTTCCAAATGAAACAAAATATTTAGCTTAAAATGAACTGGCCATTGATGAGAGTCTTACAAGTGGTTCACAAAATAATAAACATAAGTCACTGTAGTAGGTGACATACTATTCCAAGTACAATTAACGAATGTACACCCATCAAATTAAAAACCCTAATGACACAGATGCCAAGATCACTCAATTTTCCTCCTCTGCCCTAAAAAGGTTGTGCTTTTGGAAAAGAAAAGTATGAAGCTAAACTGAAATTTCCAGCGAGTGGGGGATAAAACAAAAAAAACCCTTCCATGGGAGGGGTATGGATACTTTCTGGAACAACATCATCTAAATTGGAGAAAAAAAAATGCTTGAGCAGGGCGAGATTTTCCTAACACTGTTTTCATAAATACATCCCCAGGGCAAGAAGAAAAGAAGACAACCACCAAACTCATGGTGTTGGGAACATCAGGAGATTGGGGCCTGATCTGGAGTCAGCTTTAGTGGAAAACCCAGGACAGATATGTCTGGAGGACTACTGTAGGTTGCCTATGCCCCAGGAGAAATTCTAGGTGTAAGCAAGTATTAAGTTTTAAATTCATAAATCCAGACATCTATGCATTATAGTTTGCTATACTTAATTCACATGTAAACACACGTACCTGATTCTTTGAGTTTCTGGGGTAAAATGGTAAAGTTGAGCGGTAATCCATAAGGGCTTTCTGGAGTCAGTACCTGATGCTGCAAACCTAAATGAACAGGTACATGAACAGTTTAAATCACTGACAGTGATTTGTAGCTAAGAGAAAGGGTTATGCAATCAGAACTTATATAAATTGTTATTGAAAGTTAATGCAACCCTGACAGTAGATTTGACAATTCTGTTAACTTATCATACAGGTTTCATCAGTTTTGCCATAGCTGCCCTCTTAAATTAGCATATCTTAATTTATTTGCATTAAAAAAATTCAGGTGTAATGGACCTTTTAAGCAATGTTGCGCTGTTCCAAATTTTTTATTCAAAGAAAAAGCCTTCCCGCTCGATTTACCTTGCCAAAATTTAGTTAATATTCAATGTTTCATAATGATCTGCTGCAAAGCACTGCTCCTTGGCATACATTTCATGAGTTTGCAACAGATTCTAATTCATGAAACTTTGCATATTTACTAAATTTGGCATGGTAAATTGATTTAAAGAGGTGTTTTTTTACTTAGGCGAAAAATCAAAGTGCTCTATGAGCAAACCTGTCAATTTCCCAGTGGATGATGATTGACATGTGTGGCTAATGGGTTATTCTGGTTATCTGAATTACCATATTGACTTCTGGCTATACTTGTTATAACAGCAGTCTTAAAAAAAAAACAGAATAATTTTTGGTGCATACCACATGAAGTAGAAGAACTGGTAAACATCCACTACATAAGATGCATTGCTCCTGTGGATTTACTCATTCTCGATTAAGCCACTCTACCTTGTAAACCTCTCGTCGCCTTGCCCAACATATTTTTCTTTTTGCCTGAAGACGAAAGCTTAGCCTGCTTTATGGGACTTAGCGCCGTTAGATTGAAAGCGAATAGGTTGCAAATAAGATCGAAGCGACTCTGCTTGCAGGGTAGCTGCAAAAGATCTTCAGAGAAATCAACTTTTTTATTATGAATTACAAATGCACAACATCTAAACCATCAGATGCAATTTGAGGTTGAGTATGTGAAACAGCAAGGTCGTGTAATGTCAAAAACCATCTCCTTATTGGTTTAAAGCTTGAACTAAGTACATGTGGCTACTTGTGGATGTCCTTCACCAAAAAAAGGGTTGAACAAGAAAAGAAAAAGACCAGCGGCTAAAAAAAAACAAACAAATGGAAAAAAAGAATCCTGGAATCTAACTCAGGCAAACTAGTTTGAAACATGGGTGCTAACCATAGTAACATGTAAGAAACCTTGCTTCAAGGGGGAAAGATACAAAGTACTTCATCCTTATCTCAAATTGGCTAGCAAATATGTGAATTAGCTAAATAATATCCGACATATAGTCTCTTAACAACCATTGCGCAAAAATTTTCCAGACAATAGTCAGATAGTGAGATACTTGTGTCAGAAATGCAAAAAATATTGGCAGTCACCAACTTAGAAGCTTAGAGACACAAAATGATTCCTAATTTTCACTTTTTACAGTCTGAAATGGTTTTTGGAATTAAATATTCTTTTTTGTAAACATTTGATGCTGTCTCTGGTGAGAAAAGTTGCCCAACTTCAATGCTTTTCCTGTTAACATACATCGAATCTAGTCAGTACAATTTTTCCCGCCTGCTTAATACTGATTGGTTAATTCAAATTTCAGGCTCACCAGCCGTATACAAGGTTAGGGTGTTAGAATATTATTAGGGTTAGGGTATTAGGGTATCGAGGTATTAGGGTATTAGGGTGTTATGGTATTAAGGTATAAGGGTATTACGATATTAGGGTATTAAGGTATTACCGTAATTTCTGGCAGATTACCCGCGGGTAATGCGTCAATTTTTCAGTAAACTACCGTTGCTGCGGGTAATAGGGTGGTGTGGGTTATCTGATAATTTTTTAATCTTNTTATTGGGCTATTGGTGTATTGATGTATTGGGGTATTAGGGTATTAGGGTAGTGGGGAATTACTCTTATATTCTAATATTCCAATACTTCAATACCCCAATACCGTAATACCCTAATAGTCTATTATCCTAATACCCTAATACTCTAACACCCTAACACCTAAATACCCTAAGACCCTATCACCATAACGCCCTAATACCATTACACCCCAACATCCTAATATCCTAATACTATTATACCCTAATACCCTAATACCCCAATACTCCAATATGGTAATACCCTTATACCCTAATGCCCTGGCTAATACCCTGGCTAATACCCTATTACCAAAACATACTAATACCCTAATACTTTGAGACCCTAAAACCCTAATACCCTCACACCCTTACACCCTAGCACTCTAATCTCCTAACACCGTAATATGCTAATAAACCAATACCCTAAAACCCTGATACCCTAATATCCTAATACCCTAATAACCTGATACCCAAATACCCTAATACCATAATACCTGTATACCCTAATAGCCTTATACCCCAATACCCCCAATACCCTACTACCTCTTAAACTGCAAAGTTCTCAGATGCCAACATTTAGTGTGGCTAGTGCATAGGGAACAGAGGAGTCCTATTTGACCTTTTTTCCAGTTAAATTTACCATACAATTGTAGTGCAAATTAATTTTTTGTTGATTTAAATGACTTCAAAATCAAACTGTACACATGTGATCGTGTTGCGATGATTAAATGTACTATAAATAGACATATAAAGCTTTTCACATTAGTGTGGCTAGTACACAGGGAACAGAGGAGTCCTATTTGACCTTTTTCCAGTTAAATTCACGGTACAATATTATTATTGTAGCGCCAGTCGATTTTTTGTTGATTCAAATGATTTAAAATCAAACTGTTGCGATGATTAAATATACTATAGACATATAAAGCTTTTCATGAGAGCTGTTGTGTGACTGAGCAATATGATAGCTCATCAGCCTATTCAAGTGTAAAAGTGTATCAGCTTGAACAAGCCCAAAAAATTTTTGTCTGTGGGCAAAATTTTAATGCTCAGATTGCATTTCAGATCTTGAAGTTCTATCTAGTTCTCCTCGCTCCCACTATGCAAGATTCATCTTCCAATACGACTTATGTGAGTTTGTCCTAAGACTGAGCAGGATTTTCTCATGGTGGCTTTCACGCCCGTGGTTGAAACTTATAATCTGGCGTAATCATGAGCCTTTTAGAGGCTTGCAATACCAAAGTGTTCTTTACTAGCGACTTTTTTGACAAATGCTACAGTGGCCACAACGAAACTGTTCACTGTGATTTCCTAAATTTAATTTCAGGAGCCCAACCCTCCAGTAGTAGTATCATGGATATGTAGGAGAGGATTGCCTCTTGTCAATCTTAACTAAACTTCAAACTTTAGAGCAGAAATTTACAATAGCAGCTTCCAGCAACTTCACCAAAAACATTTGGTCTTATTTAGAGTTTCCTGTGAATTTAAGATTAGAATTGTAATAGAAATGTAAAATGAACTATACCCAGAAATTAATCAAAACAAGTTTCCATTTCTAGTTAAAGAATCGCAGCTAGACCTAGTAATGTAAAACGATACACGTGCCTGCAATATTGACTAATACAGTGATTTCAGGAGCTTTATCTACTGGTCAGCAGAATTACTCCAAAAAGTTTACAGATGATGGAAGGACATGATTTGGATATCATTTGCATAATCTGCACCACCACTAATAAACAATTAAATTATGAGCTCGAGATTTCTATCACATGATAGTTGACAAGGGTGCAGCCCAAGTCAACCATCACGCATAGAAATGGAGAGTGAACAATCTAATTGTTTTCATATAAATCTACTAGTTGTTCAAAACTTTATCTAAATCCTCTTCACAGACACTGTGAAAACACCAAGAAGTGGCCGTTATTTTGTTAACAAGGGCACACTGTTATGCAGCGTAGCCAATCAGAGAATGGCATTAGTGATAGAACGCTAGTAGATCTATACTAAAACTCCGGGTTAAAAATAAGGAAAATTGTTGATATTGCGTGACATCGGTAAAAAGGTCTATTGCATAATATTTTGTGGCTGAAAAGAGCGCAATAAAAATGTACTTCTGTATACATGAATGCATGCAGATACCCTTTTCTTTTGGCTAAGTGAGGTCCCATCTGCACTATCCGGAGGAATTTGAAAACGGCGGCTTTGCGTTTTAATAGGAAGGAAAACATTTTTAAAACGGAGCTTTCCGAAAACGTCACGATAATCATGTGATCAGTTTCCCTGCTCGACTTTTCCTTAAACACAAATCCAAAATACCGGTGACTGTTGCGTTTCAAATTTCTCCAGCGTAGTCTCCCCAATTAGTAGAGCACTCGTGCTCAGCTGTTAAGACTGAGACTTAAATAAAGTTGTCATTCATTCATTCACAGGGCCTGAGAGGCAAGAAGGATCTGTTTTCTGTGATAGTGGCCCCTGAATCATGGTGACTGAATGTATAGACTGCACTTGCATCGCATTTAAATTTATATATGGCCAGTCATATAGTTCACAGATGCAAATCAGTTCAATGTTTAACTCACCAGTATGGATGGGATACCTTCCTGACATCAAAGCGCTTCTTGTAGGAGTACAAATCGGAAGAACGTAATAGTTGTCGAGCACGACTCCTTCCGAAGCCAGCTTGTCAATGTTTGGAGTTTGGATTTTTGAGCCGTGAAATCCAACATCACTCCAGCCTAAGTCGTCGACTACAACAAACAATAAGTGTGGAGGTGATGCAGTTGCACTTACGCGGGCAACAAGCAAAAGTACTGCCACTGAACTGGAGAGAAGAAACTGCGCAAAGAGGTGTCGTGACTCCATGTTGAAACCGGTCAAGACATTTCGTGGGGACATATATGACATATTTACCTGGATCTTGCGCTCGATGCACCCGTCTACGTACCCTGCGAGCAGAGTAGAGGCCCCTTCGAAGATCGAAGGGACCTCTGCTCGCAGGGTAGTTCATATGGGTCGAGAGGGGCAACTTTCATTTGGATCACCTGGTTTTGCATCAGGAGCTCCAGTAAACACAAAGTAACCATTCCCTATGTGGCCTTATGCTCCACTCATGAAGGGGCGAAGAGGATGAGTGAGTGAGTGAACCATTTCCTATGTCTTTCGGAAATCTGTGTTTATAACAACCTGTAGCCTGCAAGTGAGCTCCCTTTATCTCGTCCGGTCTCTTGTACTGGGGTCCCCAGGAGCTGCTATATGAAAGAGGGCTGATTTCCGGGCTAATGGGCTATTGTTCGGCTAATTGACCAATCAGTAAGCATCTTTTATGATCAATAGTTTATGGAAACCTTCCTCATTGGGGTTTATGAACTTTAATACATCCCAGAGGTTGGGAGGGGGGAAATGGAGCTTGTAAATGATACCTACAAAAATTAAAGAACGTGTCAAAATGGCCACGCAAAATTGCCGTTTGGTCCCCTTTTATATCGTAAACCCCCTGATTGGTTTCCTTTGTGATCCGAATTTTCCCTTTCCACTCGCATCCTCTTGTGTTCGCACGGATATTTTTCCTTCAACCTTTTCTTCGCTTTACGCCGGACTAACTAAGGGAAAAGAGGAGGGCCATTTTTGTCTCTCGCTTATATTTTCGCCTCTTCCTTGGGTTCGTCACGCAATCTCGGAGGAAGATTACATGATAAGGATAAGCCCAAAGAGTGTGTGTGGACAACCCTACTAGTCTCAAACCCAGATCTCACTCTGTTTACAACCCTACGTATCTACCAACAAACTCTTTAATACTTCCTTCAATTTAAAGGAAATCTTCAAGTTTTCTATTTGATCGCAACATAACTAATATTATTTTACGAAGTTTTAGAGATAGCGCAACATATATACTTCTTTTTATTACCTTTATTTTGAATCATTCATCATTCTTTATTATCTAATCTTGTAAGTCTTTAAATTGAGGTACTTTATTTATGACTTTATTAATGAGATGACATGTGAAAATATCATTCCTTCTAGGAGAGGACTGACTGAAAATGAAGGACTTGATTACGTGAGGAAATTGTTGCTTCCGAAAGCTCTCAAGGATAGAAGTTAGAAACGTAGCAAGCAACGAGTATTTCTACGCTAACCAAAGAAAAATGACTTGACTACATAAATTTTCAGTCTAACGTCCTTACACATTAACTTAGAAGCACAGAGTGTAAATAACACCCGTGCTTATCGAGTGGTTACCAAGATATATTGTAGTTTTTTCTTATAATTTAGTTGCCCTGGAAACCATATGTGTTGGCAACATTAAATTTTTACTTTTGACTAACTCGCCATGCGTGTTCAATTGATATACAGAAAATAATTAAGATATACACTGATACAGTATATTAAAACCCCGGGTATTCAACAGTCCTACAAAGCTATATTTACAATTTGAAACTGTAATAGAGTTTTAATACAATATGCCACTGCTGGCAGATCCAGAGGCCTTGAAGTTTGGAACAGTACTTATAAGTAACAATCTTCTAAAAGGGAGGGGAATGGGGTAGGGGCGTTCAAGATAGGCCCTTTCTTCTTTGAGAAGGAGGAGGAGCGAAGTAATCCCCTGGGGGCGACGTGAAGGTAGGCGGTTTCTTACACTAATGCTGGGGGAAGAAGGAGATTGTCAAAAATGGCGGCTTGTTGTGTTGACGTGAAAAGCAAACACAAAGCCAAAAAAAGGACGTGTTAACAGCATCCAAACCAATCAACAACACGCAGCGAAAACGCGGGAGACATTTCGGCGGGCAATAACGTGTGAACGGAAAACGTTTCAAATGAACACGACCAAGTCAACAACCAAGTAATACTGGTGATGTGCTTAACTGTCGCACGGTGTCTCAATGCACTTTATTCAGCCAATTTGCCAGACCCGCCTGATAAATAACCAATCAGCTTTCAGCTTTCAGCTTCTACTTTCGGTTGAACTAGAATCACCAGCGAGGAAATAAGGATAGTTACAACAAAGAGAACGAAGAAGAAGTTATCAATAATGTTCACCGCAACGTGCCACTCCAGTTTCCTTTTGTCTTCTGCCAAGGCTCGATCGATAAACATGGACACTTTGTCCATGCCCGCGACTTTCATTTCCTTCTCTCCCGTGTTAGCACAGTTCCTAACGTCCCCCGTGGAAGTTACGTCCGTCACAGTGACTTTGTCCTCCTCTGGCATGACTTGGTTTTGTTTCACGTGGTAATCTCCTGTTTTCATTTCTTTATTTTTGAGCTGTTTTCTTTTCAGTCGCTTGACAGAGCCACAGCTCAAAATGGGCCCCAGTACCTCGAACAGGACATAACGAAACCAACCAGTGAGCTGCATTTTGGGATGATGATGTTCGATATTGAGACTGATACAGGTGCAGAGGAGACCCAGCGAGACCTCGATCATGACCACGGAGAAGTACGTACTGATGAGAGGAGTCACCTCTGAGGTCGACGGTATGGTTTCAATCACGACAATCATAAACACAGTCATACCCAACAGAATGGTGATCATAAGAGAGATCCGCTCGCCCGTTTCCGGCGGAAATAGAAAAGCCGTGGCTGTCAGAAGCGCCAGGACAATGCAAGGGACAACCAAGTTGTTGACATAGAACAAGGTGCGCCGCTTAATCCTTATTTCGAAAGTTAGATCAGGGTATGGCTCGGGACAACACCCGTAAAACACCTCGTTCCTCGTTGCATCGGCTGACAACAGATCCCATTCACCATTTTTCGTGAAAGTGCTAAGGTCTGCACCTGGCAGGTCGTTGTAGAAGGCAAGGTCAAGTTTGAATCCATTGAACGTCCACGAGCCGAACTTCAGCTGGCAAGTCTGCATGTCCCAAGGGAAATACTTGACGTTTATTTTGCAAGAGCTCTTGATTAGGTTGGGGGACAGCCACGTGACCGTACCGTCATGGCTGATGATGACCTTGGTGTCAAACAGATACTGTTCACCGTGATCGCCTTCCTCGTTAACACTTGGGATAGAAATACAAAACCATGTGAGTGAACAAGTTGTTTTTCTCAATGAAGTGTCAGCGTATACGATAAACGAGACTGAAACTCTGCCTTGATGACATAAGTGGTCTACTTATCATTAACTGTCAGCTGCAGCCATTGCGGTGTTGAGTGTGGGAGAGGGAAGGAAAGATTAAGGGAGGGAAAGACGAATGTAGAGGAAGAGAAAAGGGACAGGAGGTTGGGAGTGGGAGGGAAAGAGATTAAGGGAAGAAAGAGTGTGAAAGAGGAAAAGGGATAGAGTATAGGAAGGAGAAATGGAGAGAGGGACGGTGAGGGGGCAAAGGAAGGAAGAGGCAATCAGACAAGAGGAAATTTGGTAATGATTGTTGAAACCTTTTCACACGGACCTGCCGACGGATACATGACGTGGTGTGCACATGAGTACTTCTATGAATTCTTTTTTTGGCTCACGTTAGACGAGCACTATACATCGTGCTCAAATTGAATAACCTCGGTGAAACAATGTGTTCTCATTTGCGTCCACTACCCATTGGAGCCTCTTTATAAACTGACTATTGTTCCGTTTACTCAACAGAAACAGCAGTTAGTATCGGGATTACAGTAGGATGGCGAAATTTGTAAGTGCACGACATTAAGGGGCGAGGCTACACTTACTTGTTGTGTAGGACAATGTCTGGTTTCCACACTAGGTTAGGACTTATGTTGATGGAGCTGAGACCACTGTAACTTGAAGGATTCCATACTAGCCACGGGTCATGCCATTGCTGTAACGCAAACCAACAAACTGCTTTTAAAAGAAGATCCAGCATTTTGAAATAACACTCTTACTTTCAGCTGACGAAACCAGGAGAAAAGGAAAGGTAAAGGGCGCTAGGCGCAGTAGAATTAACGTAACAGGTGCTTTGCGGCAAAAAATTGTCACAAGCAGTACTAGACATACCTCACTAGGGGTAGAAAAAACCCATATAAATGATGTAAACACCGTAAAGATATTTTACATGCCTGTCTTATCCAAACGTTACTTGTTAAAACTTGATTCTTTTCATCCTGAAAAACAGAAATGATTAAGTTTGAGTATCACTCCACCTTACAAAACAAAGAACCAAGAGCATGACAATTCCTTACAGAAAAAACCAGACTAGAGCACCAAAAAAAGGAGTAACAAAACGTTTAAGGGGGCCGCTTTCTCATTATTTCGAGTACCTCAAAACAACGTATCCAGATCATAAGAAATTTTTAAAATGTCTGTTTGACTGTGGGGACCACAACTCGACGAATGCCCAGGAAAGACTGAATGAATTATCATAACGCAAGCCGCAATTTGTTCAGTTAAGCTACAATCACTTCGAGGCCGTTAGTGAGCAGCCTCGTTCCTGGGGGAGGAAGATTACGCGACGACGCTAGTTATAGAGTAGTCCGCGTAGGGACGGTGAGCGTTACGTGACTCCCGCGCGAGCGATTACAAACTAGTTAGTAAGTAAAACGCATTTAAAGAAATTGTAATGGCAGTACAGCAACCGTTTTAGTAAAAAAACCGGAGCAACAAGGTTATATAGCTTTACTTTAAAAATTTGAGCAAAACAATTCCCGCTAGCCTGCGTAGCTGCCAGGATTTCGCGCGCGAAGTCGCGCGGGAGTCGAGTTGAATTTCACTCGCCGCTTCGCCGCTCCCGAACTTCGCCGCGAGGAAAAAGAAGCCGTTCCGCCAGCTACGCAGGATAAATTCCTGTATTTTTAACAGTTGGAACCAATCATCCGTCCTTTATTGCGAAAAGCATTATTTTCTTTGTAAGTGCTGTTTAGAGCTCGTCTGGGTTATTTTCAGAAACAAGGACGGTTGGCGACATCACGTCCAGTGTTGGAATCAAATCATGAACCAAATTGAGCTCATGTCCCAATTAACTACAATACAACGGCATAACAAATATAACAGCACGATACTAGCAATGGGACGATAAACACAGCAGTTGGTTGCTAAATAATTGAAAAATAAGCCAGTGTTTCCGTCAAAACAGCCCAGGAAAAAAAAGAAAAAAAAGATTTGACTGAAAAATGTCCTTCCTGGGCGGATTTTATAACGTTGAATTGAATAGGTTAAGCAGTTGAAATTTATAGAATTGACAGGTAATTGTAGTACTATACTGCCATACAGAAGGCAAAAAAAGATAATTGAAAAGCAAGGTATAAGCAAAAGCCTTGATTGGGATCAGGAAGAACTGTCCGCTTATTAATAGATGAAACAGAAAATACGATCAGTAAAAGGTGCGGGGGTTGAGGGGACTTCACTTGGATACGGGTATGTGCCACTGGCCTCTCAGAGCTCCCACCCGATTAGACTCTATTTTATGGCCAATCTTAGACCCCTATTTTAGTCACTTTTGGGAAGATGTAATTTTCACGATCCGGCCCAACATAGTCCCTTTCTGTTTACGCATCTACCCAGAAGCATATCACCTGATCTACCTTATAAAGCTTTTTAACTAGTTCATCCTAAAATGAAGTGACACATTTGTTTGACCGAATGTTGAATTGTAACAACTTTTCACCCTCGAATCTTCCCATTTTTAAATCCCTACTTGCCAGAATTTTCTTACCTACAAAATCCCGAAAATGCACGACCCTATTCTAGTAACTGTATTAAAAATGCGTCCCCATTATAGTCAATCCAATCGTGAAAATCATACCCCAACCCCATTAGCCTACTACTAGGAAGTACCGGAAGTACCTCCCCCCTTCCCCCCGCACCCGCCAGGGTAAAGTGACACGAGGAATCAAGGGCATCACTACTCGATGATTTGCTGATTAAGGTGCACTTTCCTTTACCAAAGGCTCACAGCATCTTGATATCAGGAAGAACAAAGAGGAAAGGAAAAAGTGATTGTACCACTTGGTTTTTACATACCAAACTGTGAAGATTGCTGTAAGCCAGTCCAAACTTAACCAGAACGGGTTTTGACAGGTTCAAAACCGGTCTTCCTTCAGAGTCGTAATTTGCAAATAACGCCTTTATCAGAGTTTGTTCAATTTTTGTCTGGTTTAACTGAGCATGACAACCTACAATGGAAAAATGAAAACAAAATGACACGAAAACGAGTGACTGAGATTGTAATGTAGTAGATAAACTAACGCAGTAAAATAACAGCTTTTAAAACTGTCTAAACAAGGCCTCGTCCACACTAAGGAGTATCTAAAACGATGCGTTTCCACGTCCACGCTACCGTTTTCACAGCGTTTTCGTCGTTCATACTACGACGCCTATACTCTATGAGAGAGCACAATCATCGTTTGGGCATGCGTATACGATAAGACTCCGTTCGAACATGTCCCACGCTGGATGGCATTTTCGCATGCTATTGTGACGAAAACGAAGAGCGTTTTAGAGTGAACGGCAGGCGAAAACGAATCAAAAAGTATACGTTTTCACTTAAAAACGCATTCTTGTGAAAGATTAATAACTTTCGTTCCCGAAATATCCTAACGAAATTGATAAATAAACTTAAGTTTTTGAAGAGGCCTTTTAGCAGAATCAGAATCAATGAAAACCTGAGTGAAAGTCTTATCACTGATTGGTAAAATATCATATATAAACCTGTAAGGCTCCAAATTTCTTTTTAATTTTATGTATTGGTTATATCGATAGAGTGCTTTAAAGTACTCTAGATTTTTCTTCAGAACCCAACAGAGAAATAACCATCCGCTTGAAAAGGAAAAACAAGCAAAATCTTTTGAATAAGCGTGAAGGCTACCAAGACTCACAGCAGAACCACTATACGAATAAACTAGAAGGACAAGGGTACCGTAAACTGCCACTTATAAGCCTTGCGCTTATTCAACTTCGTACGGGGTTTTGGATGAGCTTTTAATCAGAGGAGCTTATATCCGGGGGAATAAAAAAAAAACATTTCGAAATGAGCTACAGCAGTGTTGATCGACATACGTGTTTCACATACTGGTTTTTAATTAAACTTTAAAATTTATCGTAATAAATAGAATGCATTTCATTTTAAACCAGAGGGGGGTTATATCCAGGGGGTGGGGGCCATATGATCGGAACTAATAATTTGTTTACAGGTAAATGGACCTATAACCGGAGGGGCTTATAAGCGGGAGGGCTTAAGTGGCAGTTTACGGTATTTTCAGAACTACTGGATAAAATAGTCTTGCGGTTCATGCTCATAGGAGCATTACGAATGTTTGTTTTTACTCTTGGTACAATATTGTAATTTGTCTTCTAACTCTTGGGTAAAATGATAGCTTTTCTTGTTGTTGCTATTGGTTTCCAAAGAACCCTGTAAATTCGTCCTATAGTACTTAACAACTAACAGCTCTAGCACGAAGTGTCCTCATACAGTTTCTGTTTTCATCCATTTTAAAAGCAACACGCTAGTCTTAACGAATCTCTAAAACCATTTCTTTCGTTATAATTTTGTCACTGCACGGGGTTTCTACACTCTGACTTCGGCCACCCATTCAGCCACTACCGGAAGGGACCACTGTGTTTGGAACTAGACTCAAACAGGGATCTGAAAATACTAAGGTGTCCGCCAACTGTGATCTCAGCAGCAGGCCTGGATCGTAATGGCAGCGCTAAGTAGATAACTAACCTATAATTAATTTCCAATCTGAAAATTAGGTTTCCTATACAGTTGGTCAGAGAGTATTACATCCAAACACTTAACACTGCTTTACGGTCGTATTGGTTTGGTTTTGCCAAAGGTGCCTCGAGAGAACACGTTTCGCAACGTTTTGCAGTTGACATGGCTAAAAACTGTTAAAACCAGCCTTTCAATAGCGAACTATAGACACGCGAATGACAAAATTTTTTAAAGCAATATTTCGGAGATTAGCACGACATTTTTTCTTCTTCAACCGCAATTACTGCAAAGGTTTCCTTTAACAGAACACTAAAAAGAAAAAACCATAACTCAACTACTCATATTTTCGTTGGTGCCTTTATAAGTGTTTACTGACGTAATTTACGCCAAGAAATCAGTAAAATTTTTCGCATCAATAGCTGTCGAGTACATACTAGAAACCATTTACCGCAAGTGTAGTAAGACATTTGTACTTTGCGATTGTTGTTGAAAAGAGATGAGTATGTCCATTTCACATTTTGCTCGACCTCTGAATTCAATAATATTGCACATGCTCAAGTCATATCTTGTTGTTGAACCAAATCCTAGTCCACTATCTAACCTTGATCTTCTTTAGAAATTCAAACCAAAAAGCCAAATTTAATCTAGTGATCGAAAATCACAGCATTTAAAATTTCAATGTGCTTATATGGCGATTTGCATTATAAAGAGCGGGCACAAGGCTAATTTCGCTGGGTTTTGATTAAGTTCACAGAATGAGATGAAAAACAATCCAGCTCTAAATACTTCGAAGATTCCAGTATCCTAGCAACCATGCTCTGTACGTCAGAACAGATGGGAAAAGCTTCGGTTGACTTGTATTCTCACAAAGCATCGAAAGGCACGATAATGTACGACTGGAAGATGTGTTTGCATTGTGCACATAAACGGGCAAATGATAAAAATTAAACGTGACACGAATTTGGGTTATAACGTAAGTTCGAACCTATAAATTAAAGATATTCAAAATGTAGGGGAAAAAGAACTTCTGCCTTAAGGACCTGCGGCAATTAGAAAAACCCACCAACACAGGACGATACACTTTAAGGCAATAACACATTACCGGTTTCTCTTTCAGAATAGTTATAGCCCCGAGCAATTTCCATCTAAAGTAAAACTAAGCAAGTTACTTGTTCAGACGAAGCGAGGGTAGGTTATTATATTTAAACAACGCCACACGGCTAGCAAAAGAGGAATTGTTCTCAATCTACGCTGAGCGTAACAACCATACGATTTTCCGTGGCATAACAACTAAGTGCAGCTTTAACAATTGCTCATTGAAATGACAACAACGCTTGAAATGTACAATAAACACAACACGCTAACAAAAAAAAAACTGTATTGGTTCTCCGTCGTTAAGTTTCAAACCACAATTTTCCCGTTTCTATTGCAACAAGACGTTAAGTTTTGATCGGGTTGCCGAAACAGTTCACATTTGCGGTGTACCATAAGTGTGAGGCATAGCATGATCAACAAATCTCTCTTTAACAATGGTGTCAAACTGACATCGATTTTGCCACCTCTGTTGTCACACACGAACATGTTCCAACACTCTTCTCTAAGTCGAGTCTGAAACTCACATCGAGCGTTTTACAATATCAACGCTAAAACAGGCTAAAGCGCCTAAGAACAGCTACAACTATAAGAATACAAAAAATGTAAGCAGCCTATGGATAAAGTCCCAAGTTTGATGAGATAACTCTTATCTTTATTTACCTACAAGTAGGGCCTGTTTTAGTAAAACTTGGAAGAGCCAAATTATGTTCTTACAAAACGCTCTTTCAATTTCGGTAGGGATAAATAAATCAACGGCAAAACCTGACTACAAATTACATTAGGAGCCGGTTACCTGTATAAGGAAAATCTTGTTACAAACTTCATCTAAATAAATGACAAACAGTACACTAGTATTCCGAGCGCATTTAGCAGATGAACTGAACTTCTTCGTGACAGATACAAAATCGCGCTTCCCGCATTTCTCAACTCTATTAAGGTGGCACTGTAAGATTCGATGAAAACCGCAAACCTGCGACAGGCGAGAACACTAACTATTTATCAACTGTTGCACAGCATGTTTTAACATTTTAGCGTCTCGTGGGTCTCGAATTGTATCATGAAAAACTGTCTGAGCTGTTACTTACCCCGGTAGTCCATCGCTACTAACGTCAATACGAGCGGCACAATCGACAGACAACAGCGTCTTGCGTTTAAATGGTGGGGTAGCATCGTTTTAGGAACTTGTTTCTCCGCGAACTCCAGCTGTTCACAGACCTGCATGGAGGAAGCAAACGCTTATCAGTGAGGTAAGTCTGTGCGATCTGCCAGTTTTAAAAGTCTGCCACAGAAAAACGACAAAGCAAGCCCCTTTCTACTTGCCTGTGTGTCTTTGCGTTCTCTGAGAAAACGCCAACAACAAACTTGTCTGGCGATCACTGGCCTGATAAGGTATGCTGATAACCAATGGTCAACAGAAGATTGCTTTTTGATCGATTCGAGATACCAAGGTCGCTCTTTAATTAACATGCATAACATTATAAGTAAACTGTCTGGCTCCACACCTGAATGGGCCCATATTCACCATGTGTTGTTTCCGATAACACGCTTATTCACCTCTCGTGATGTATCAACACTTTTATTTTCGTCAGAATAGACCAGGGTTTTCCGCACTGTTAAACTCGTGGCCAACTCGAGTTGTAATTTCCCTGAGGACTATTTCACAGCCTTATTAACATGTAAAAGAATCGCTGAGGGTCCATGTAATTAAAACTAAGTATATGACGAGTCAATGGCGTCCAGTTGTCATCTTTCGAATGACAAAAGCAGAATTCCGAGGGTACATTATAACAAACAGTACTTTTAGAAAGATGGCGAACTGTTTTCAACGGAACCTTTTCAACCAATTCAAAAGTTCTCCTCTGCAAAAATAAAATGAAAAAAACCAAACCAAAACAAAAACTATCTTTACAGCTGTTCAAACCTCTTTGAATCTCATTTCAGAAAAAAAAAAAAAAAACAAGAAAAACAATTGCCTTATTTCTTGCATTTGCATTATAAATATCGAGATAACCATCTACACAATGAGGTTGTTGTGAGGTCTCTATAAAGCATGGTAGGTAATTATCAAGATTCGCTTAAGCCGGAAAAAAAGCAAACAGAATTTTACCACCTGCAAATCGGGCGATGAAGTTTGTGGAATTAATTTGTTTCCAAAGTTAAAGCTCAAACACGCGAGGTGGTAATAAAAAATAAGGGTGCTGTTTCTCTCGGAAGAGGTCAAACGATTGCATTCCGAAGAAGACCTTTCAGTGATATATACATACATGTAGATCATATATGGTTATGTTTGTGCGTAAAGAAGATACCACCCGCTAGCTGCGCGAGGAGTCCATTGTATAAGTTCGTTACACCCAGCTCGGTAAAAGATAAATAACTATAAATAAAGAATAAACACAGAACATGTTTCGTGCTCGGGCAGAAAATCACGATGATTATCCTATTTAGTTTTTCTACACTTTTTCGAACGGAGCAGGAGAAATAACATAACGGACTAACGGAATATTTAATACAGCAATACATTTCAAAAGTCTTGAACAAATAAAACTTCAGGGCGACTTAAGTGACTGAAGTGAAATACAAAAAAACACAAAAACTGTGTACGATATTGTGTTTGACCTTACAGTGCAAGTATCTTTTGTTTTATTCTTGGAATGATTCAACTCTAATCGAAGTGTCATTCACAAGTTACGTGCAAAGTTGCCCGCTCTAATTAACAGACAATCATCAATAATATAATAACTCTTAGTTCAACTTGAATGCATTATAAGTCAGGGATGACGTTGCATTCTTTGTTACAATGGTTAGCAACCTTAGCTGCAGGTCTTGTTGTTGATAACAATTGCTCACAACATATTTAGGGACTTGTTTGTCATCAAGTCCACGCTCCGCTAACAAGTTCCGCCTATCCTTCACGGATGAGCGATGAGCGATGAAGCTAAACGTTGCGTTGAAAGTTACACAATATAAAAATGCGTGAAAAGTTTATTTAATCGAGTAAATTCTCGATTACAACTCTATATTGATGTTCGAAGCGTTATTCAGCTGTAATAGAGAACAAAACATTTATACAGTCGAACCTCCACTAACGGCTACTCCTCTACGACGGTCAGTTTTTATGTCCCGCCGGACAGTTCATACATTCGCTCTTATTTTAACCTCTCCACAACGGCAACGGCCACTAGAACTCGTCCCAACTGGCAAAACCTCTCAACAACGGCCAGTTAATCGACGACTGACGACAAAACGACACTTTGTTATTGGAAAAGGTCACGAAAGTTGATCGTTACCGCGCGTCGTTGGTCTCTGTTTCTGGTTTATTGATATCTCTTGATTGCGTCACATATTTATATGCTACAATCAGCATTTTTTTTTTAAATGAAAATGTTGCACCCCGAAAAGAATGGGTGTTACGTTGCACATATACCTCCCCATAACGGCCACCTCTCTACAATCGCCATTTTTCTCTCCAGACAAAATCCAGAATTATTAACGGTAGAAACCTTACAGAAACTATCCAAAACATCTTGGAACACTTCGAATATAACGTATTAACCACTGGATTAAAGTGAGTTACGTAACTACCTGGATGATTACGTAACTGCTCGCGAAAAATCACAGTATAACGATAAACAAATTCCACAGACAGCAAGCGTAACACAAAACAAACACAGAGCGATTCGCTCTCTCTTCCGTTATCGACTTCTCTTCCGACAGAAGATAAGACAGAGCGCGCTTTTTCAATTTCGAAGCCAGGCTCTCTCTCTTTGCCTTTCTTGCTCGTAGAGGAGAAGAGAGAGCCTCGGGTGGAATTTGGCTTTTCACAGTCTGTGATTCGTCTTTGGCTGGTCACATCTTACACTGGAAGCTACTGGACAGAAAATTCTACGTGATTTGGAATGGCAAAGCATTCGCGTCGAATTAGTTACATTCGACAACGGAGAGCGCATCTGATCTGGTTAGGCTGTGGTTTCATGATCATCCTGTTTACACCAGGGGTTTACGGTCTTTAGGCTGGGCCAAACGTTCAAATGAATTTTTCGTTTGCTCGTCGTCGTCTTTCGGCACCGTTGTATCGAGTTTGACGGAACAAAACAAAATGGCGGGTTGTTAAAACCTTTGAGCCTCAAAAATTGATAAAATGTACGTGTTACGTGAGTAGGATTCCTTGTTTGGGCTGCATTCCTTTGGGAGGATCTGTATCGGTATTTATGATACAATCAAAGGAACCGTCGAATCCACTCTGGGCATGCATTCATCGATTCTTTGGTGTACAATGATGCGTGTGATCTTGGATCATAAATCCTGATCATGATCTTCTACAAGGAATGTCTTCAATCTGAGGGCTAGTTCAACAGGTAACCTACTGTGGCCCAACAAATTCCTTTTTACGACAAAAACGATACCAGAGAGAGTTCACGTTTCAAAAGGAATTTATTTACAATCTTTTTCGCGGTATTCACTGACGGCAGTCTTTTAACTTCGCCTACACAAGGCACTTACAATCGGCGGCTCATAATCAGAAAGAAAGGCGATCTCCTTTGTAAGTTGGGAATTTAAATCTGAAAAGAAATGAAGAAAAATACGTCTAAATTAAGAGCTGCCCAAAATGATGATGACTTTGTCATATACAAAAGCGGTAGCAGAAGACCAATTGAGCAATTTTAAATTCAACATTTTGACAGCTCCGGGATTCTTGGTTTCTCCGCCGAAAGCAGTTTTCTACGGAAGACAGCGAAGTGTCGTTATTTATTAGCTGAATTCCACGCTGAACTGAAATTGTTGGCAAACCGCTGAAAGTCTAGTTATTTATCCGTGTAACGTTTACTCGGCAACTTTACCTTTTGTTAACACTCCTCTTTTTTTGAAAAACTGAAGGCACGCATCAAGTTCTTCCTTAGAGTAACGGGGTACCTCGATGTTTGTGAAAGGCAGCACTGCCGATAAACCTCTCTGTTGAACAAATTAAGGGTATCCTTTCATTCATTTTAACAAGATTCCGTTAACATAGAGGTCAACAACGACTGCTTGATCTTGGGAGAAAACAGGAGAAAACAGACAAACCTTCACTAAGGTCCATCTCTCTACGACGGTCTGCATTTGTCTAGCCTGCAGAACAAGCGGATTAGCGGGGCAGAGAGCGAAACTCGCTGGTGTAGCACGCTTCGCGGTCTGCTCCGCTAATCCGCCTGTTCAGCAGGTTAGGATTTGTCTTTCTGAACGTGCCCCGATCCATTCACTTGACTTCTCAATGGTCTCTTTGTGGAGAGGTTTAGCTGCCGCCTCGTCCCCAGTTGTATCATTTCGCAAGATAGATAGGAACGAGTCAAGGGTGGTACGCAATGGAGGAGACGACGGGAAGGCAGCAGAGGAGGAGGATAGAACTCTTCTTCCTTTCCAACCTTCCCCTTGAGCGTCCCTCTTAATTGACAGACAAATAAGACACCACCGGCTGTGGACAAGTCAGGCGCAGCTGTACTCGACAAATAACAGGAACATGCTTTCTTCTTCTCTAAACCATGACGTGACCAGAAAAACATGTTCTGAACTTCACTGATTAGACTACAAAGTCACAACAACAAAGACATTTTCTACTTACCTCTCTCAGTAAATCTGCAACTTCATAAGATTCTATGTAGCTTCTCAACATTCCCGTGCGTGATAACGCAAACACCATTGCTCCATTTTTCTACAAAACAAGAGTAAAATACCGTAAAAATTTCCATAAAGTCCCACACACAAGACTGAAAAAGAAGAACTTCAGTAACTATGCCGTTTCTTATTTACTCGTTAAAACTTCAGGTGCAAAATTTCTTCAAAATATAAGCACAACCATTTTGAAAGGCATACGAGTGACTTCCTTGGAATGAGTCTCCACCCAAAAAGGCCGTGGAATAGAAAAGCTCTTTTGTGGACAAAACTACAACCAGGACTAATTATCGGAAAATTATAGTGACGTCAACATTTCAACAAGGAACTAACTAACAAAATAAACAGCATAATGTTCCTCTCTGACCACCACAAATGTCCAGTTAGCTCATTTGTTTTCAGTGCCACCTTACCAGGCCATCTTCGGGATGTAAGAGTTTTGTAAAGTGATGGATCAAACTCAGTCTCTTGGGCTTTATCTGAAACAAAAAAAACACAAACAATTTCATGTTGGATTTCAAACTGTTTGCCGTATCATTTTCTCTCTCTAGGTGTTCGTACCACAATGAACCATAAAGAGAGCCGTAAAGAGCCATGAGTGCTTTCCACACTGCATCAGTTCCACATTAGGACAGTACATGTATGTTTGAAGATGGAGATAAAGAGATAAACTTCCTTACCCAATTTTGTTGGGCATCTTTGAATGTGGTTTTCAAGAAAAATCCATTGAACTCGTTCACAGCATACAACACTCGCAAACTAGAAGAGAATAAAGATTAACTCAAACGTAGGCACGCGGAAACTTTTAGCGGGAAATACTAACGAAGTGTGTTATGGAGAGAAAAGTACAAGCCCTGACGAAAGTGGACAGCATGACCACGTGATCTCATAACTCGTTTACATGTTTACGGTTTCAGTCTATCTTATCCTACTTCCAATGTGGAAGTAGATTCGAACTTCGAACTTTCATTTCGAACTTCCAGCCTAACAGAAGTTTCATACCACGACAAGCGATAAAAATGTAAGTGTTACGTAAGTACGATTCCTTGTTTGGGTCGCATTCCTTTGGGAGGATCTGTATCTGTGTTTATGATTCAAGATCACTCGGATCATGGTACAATCAAAGGAACCGTCGAATCCACTCTGAGCATGCATTCATCGGTTCTTTGATGTACAATGATGCGTGCGATCTTGGATCATAAATCCTGATCATGATCTTCTACAAGGACTGTCTTTCTGAAGGGAGTTCAATAGGTAACCTACTGCGGCATCATTTACATAATACTCGCGCGAACTTTATCGTCGGAACGAAAATTTCGACCCGGTGACTCCTGGTACAACATTTGTGAGGGATTATTAAGGAATTTCCAAATTTAGCTTTGCACGCTAATATGAAAAACATTACCAACCTAGGATTATTTCTTATTTCCTTGAGCAACACGCCAACAGCATCTGTGGCATAGGTAGCTCTTCTAAAACCCTGAAATAATAATAAAAAAAAACATTAAGTCGGCAAGTAATTTGTATTAACTGCTTAGAAACATAGAGACTGCACTGACGTGGTCCAGCTTTTGCCAAGGACACTTTCCAGAGGACAGCTGAAAGTTTAACGATCAGTGTACTGTCTCTGCTCGAGCTTTATACATCTTTGTAACTTCTTTGGCTGCTGACCATGCTAAGTAGCTATCCCCTTACACAGCCCAACTTGAAACCAATCGTGGGAAAACGCAGTGTTCTCTCTGCCATCACCGATAATTTAGCAAACCATTCGGCTTTGTTTGGCGTATTATTTGTGGAAAACTTCTGTTACTTGATAAGGACTGGCTAATTTCTTGTCACTGAGCCAAATGAACATAACAACAAATAAAGTAATAATGCCATTGTTACCATATCTATGATTTTTCCAAATGGCTCTCCTTCTTTCACGGTGTCTCGCTTACCAAAGAGGTATTGCTTGCTTGTCTTGACCTGAATGATATCAAAAAGAAAGTAGAGTACAGTCGAACCTCCGGTTACGACAACCTCTCCTCGGCGACCAGTTTTCCAAAATACCAAAAGTTTTCACATCAAATCACTATAATTATTTCGAACTTCTTGTAAGCGACCATCTCTCGTAAGCAGCTGTGACCACTTTCAGAGCTAAAAGTTTAAAATTTTCTTCTGCTTTTAACGTCCCATAAGCAACCACTTGACAGATAATAGAGCGACAATTGGATAACAAGGTCTCGTAACATTATGGCATTCCTGGATAGTACAAGAGGCAAAAATTTGTCAATGGGAAGTACCATTATTTTTCTCTAAACTGACTTTTCACATGAATAAAACATTTAAAACATGGGGTAAGTAACTGCAGTTACCATATGCTAATGAGGCAAAATTTTGCCCCTAGATAGTCTAAGCTCTTAGACTATCTAGGGACCACATCCCAAAAGCGACCAAATAGGTTTGACATTTTGAGTGGTCACTTATGGGAGGTTCGACTGTATCTTTTACGACTGATATTATTGTCTTCATACGCACTGAATGGTCGGGATTTGACCATTTCACCTCTCCACAACTCTGCTAAGGCTTTATAAGATCACCCCATTTTTTAACTTTTGCCATGTTACATACATCAGTTGAATGCTACAAAACTGTTTTACTTGATTGCTGGGTGGAAATCAAAAGCTAATCAATCCAAGATAGTATGTACAGGACATGCAATCAGCTGCATGCTGACATCTGCACTTGGCTTATAGGCATACAGGTGCCACCTTTTGTGGCCCTCCGCTGACCCGAAGCATCCCACAGAATAAGCAAGAATAAACCTCTGGTGTCCAGGGTAATTATTACCTGATTTATGTTACTATTTCCTTTTAATTAACCTTACCTCAGTAAGGAACTTGCTATTAATTGAACGGCACATTTGAAGCCATGCGGATGCCAGCTCTGGTTGGTCAAATCTATCTGCATGTTGTGTTGACACCTGCAGCTCAGATTTTCCATGACACCAGCTAAACACTGCAATTAAAATCGAAATTGTAATGATATCTCACATATTCAGTTTCTTCCCAGTCTTGAAATACCTAAGAAGTGATTATTAGAAATCTTACCACTTGGTACAGGCAGAATAAACCATCCAGCAGAATAACAATAGTGAAGAACATGAGCAAGTGAAAGAGATTTACCATGTCCATTATCACCATCTGATTACACCTCCAGTTAAGGAAAGAACCCCTAACAGGTCAGGTGTACCATGCCTGGTTCATTTTGAACGTACATACAACTACAAAATTGTGACAATTACCTTACCTTTACCCCAGGGGGGAGACTTTCTATCATAGCCTATATGGGGAGGCTCTTCCTGAAAGTAGGTATGTGAAAGGAGTACTTTTTTTCAACAAAATGTATACAAAATTGGTACCTTTTCTGTCAAATGGTATATAAAAGGGTATGGGTTGGAGCGCAAGGCGAAGTCTCCCCATAAAAAACTTTGTTGAGTACCCCCCCAACAGACCTTTACACATCAATATGCTTCTGACATCACAAATCATACAACATGAGCAATTTGATTTACATTGTTTTAACGACTGAATATCTTGTAAAATAATTGTCCTGGCAATGTTCTTGTTATCAAAATCATTTTCATTGTTTTCTGCTCAAAAACTCTTGATAGGAAGGGCTGCAGCAGATCTGTGATGCTTCATCAGGATGACTTTACAAGACACTAAACAAGAGACAAACTAGCTCTACTATGGAGCTTAGTCTACCACATTGCTGTGATTAGTAACAGGTCACAAATTAAGTAGAGCAGTTACTCAATTATCAAAAGGCTAAAAGGTTCATACTGGCAGCACTTACATGTAGGTCTCCATTATTTGATAACATGAAGTGACTCAGAGTAGTACTACGATGTACACGTACAGTACCTGTCTGACACCCCCCCCCCCCCCCCCCCCCTTGAATGGGATACTTATCTCAACAAGGGGTGTGAATTGTGTCAGGTTGACCCAACAACCTTCCAGTATTTGTTTAATTATGTTGAATGAGGAGAGGCACTATAAATGGGTCATTGATGAGGTCAAGATGGCTGGATATTGGCCAAGTTCTTTTTACTTAGTCCATAAACATGCCAAAAAAGAATGAGACCACTGTCTGGACAGCCATCTTGACCAAACAAGCTTGGTCAACACAGCATTTATTATATGGAAAAATAACACTATCAGTCTCGTGGGACACAGTGGGTAATCCCGAGCAGGCAAGATAGCACCATCTTACCTGCTCGGGTAGCCATATAATAAATGTTGATGGAGCTAGCCATAAAATTAATGTGTGTACGAAAGGCAAGTGCTTTGCTGAAAATAGCAACATGCAGTAAGGGCTTTGGGGGGTCTAGAACCTGAGGCTGGTCTCTTGCAATCAACATTTCAGACAATAATTCAAAACTGAGGTAATGATCTGATGCTGAACAGATAATACAGCAACAAACTGACAAGATTTAAAGGATACAAAAAATAAATTTACGGGGTGGACGTGCATCTTCTGACAACCCTTTGAGGTGCTGTAAGACCTCTAATGTGGGTTTTCTAATCATTAAACTTGTACTTCCTGTTATTTGACACTGGAATAGAAAACAAGCACACTGGTAGTCAAAGCATGATTAAGTATTACATTAAGCATGAAATGGAAATCTCATAGACCATGGTTTTAATGATAGGTGAGAGTTGCAACCTTATTAATTTGGTGACATATTTAATTGTTTAGGTAACAAATGGGCAAGTAGCCACCTAAAGGAAACATGGCTGATGCTACATGCTGCTTTTCATGAAATACTACATCTACACTAACAAATTACATACTAATTCAATCTTACTTGTTGATTTTGTAAACAAAATCTCACTTAAATGCAGAATCAAACATATTGAAGCATAAATAATATGAGAAACAAAAGATGTCTCCTCCACTTTCTTGCTAGTTTCACAATTTTCATTATAATTAAAGTAATTCTTAGTTAATGAATGATAAGTAATTCTAGGTTATCCAAAGCAATGTTTTCTTCTTGAATTCAGTAATTATGTAAGTGTAAGAAATTAATGTCAATATATTACAGAAGTGCTCTTTGTATTGTTGAAAGGAATAGCGGTCATTTATGGTAGAATTAAAAGCAAGTAATTATTGATTGTTCACTGTGTAGTTTATTGTAAGTAGATGAATGTTAAGTAGATAATTACTAGATTGTAAATAATGGGGTTGAGAGAAATAATAAATAAACTAAAACAAAAATGGTTAATGCGTCACTATTGCTATTTAAGTTATCAGTTAAGTAATTATTAAAATATTTGTATTTACTTAATGCATTTGACAAAATAGTCATTACCTCTGACTGAAATCTCTTTGTGAAGAAATATGAAAGAACTCTGGTGGAAATTTCTTCTGGTACTGTATAGAATTGGCCAATATTGGACTCTGTGTGACTAGCCTAACAAATATTATAAGACAAAGTCATAAACTGGAAACATAAATTCTCTATAGAGCAGTTAAATGAATTGATCTATTGATCAAAATATTGACAGCCTCAAGTTACAACAGGTATTTTATGAGAAACAAACTGTACACAGGATGCAAAATGTTTTTTACAGCTTGCTTTTCAGGGAGACACCTCTGAGGGTCTACAGTAGCTTTAAAAAAAGAGCATTCAATATTTTCGTCGCAATCAGTCGTGATATTTGCACTTATTGCATCATGTGCCAGTATTCCATAAAAAGTCAGAGTCAACAGAGTTTCAAGGTGTAGATGGCATTTTGTTTGATGTCTAAATAAGTTCCTGTAAACCTTGACTTCTCTATTTCTACCCCTCCTTTTTTGGATCATTTTATCAGAGCAACAGGTGCCTGTCTTTTCCCTTACGTGAAGGCTCAAGATGGAAATGCCAGGATGTGCCAGCCAACAGTTTCTATCGACAGTAGGATCTGGCTGTAAATAGAGGAAACTCCTAGACGCATATCATAGACGCCCAACTTACAATTAGAGACCAACAACCAATGCAGTTGTTTATGATCTACAGTTACCTGCAATGTATATATCAATATACTCACTGGATCAACTTGTCCTATATCAACAACTGGTTCATTTCTTATGTCCTCATCTGTTATGCTTGCATCTTCCTTTGTTTTCTCAATTAGAGCAGATCTGCTCATACATCTAGTATGTAACCTCCTCTGTTTATGAAAATCAAAATAAACTAAAACTTTTACCTTTGACAAACTATCAATACGTAAACATGGAGGGATTGCAGCCCACTACAGTAGAAACGCAATTTAAGGTGGCTTACTACAGTTTTGATGAATTATAACAGCCCAACTTCTGACTCTTTTCAAAAATGTTTCCAGATGTTTTTCCTTTCTCTATTTACTGTTTGCTTAAGTCTTTTGCCATTCTATTTGAAACTTGAACAATTAAATGTCAACAAATGGCCAAAAATGAACGAATGAGTACCTAAGGAGAGACTGGGCACTAGTAGGTTAAATTACGTTTTTCTCAAAATCTACCTTATAACCCCACCTCAAAATTTCAGGAATAAGAAATTGGCTCTGATTTAACATTCATGCAAAGTAAAATAAAAATCTGTATGACAGATTTTTTGCAAACTAAGAAAATGTGAGGTCAAAAATAGCTCAGTCTTACAGATTTTTTTAAAATTTTGGCTCTAAATGTGATTCACCCCAACAAATCAACTGTGAAAATTTCATCATGGGTTTCATGGTAGGTTTTTGAGCAATCCTCGATCAAAGACTAGCTTTTACAACCTTGGACGAGAACTGAATTGTGCATGCCCTTTATTTAAGCGCACATTCATGTGACGCCATGTATCACGTGCGAGAAAGCAAGAGTAAATTAGAGCTCTTTTACCAGTTATTTATAGAGCTTTTTTGTCATATTCTTTTGGCCCTAAGCTTAGAGACATGTTTGAACAGAGTTTGAAACTATTGCTACGTATACCAACAAGATTTAATGCCTTTCAAGTGCTGAAGTGGTTTTCGTTTCTTCTTAGGTTTACTTATGTCATTTTTGCACGCGCAATTAATATTGATGTCTGGCAGGCAATTGTAGCCCACGCTACTGAGTCTCAGAAAAACTGTAGTAAGCCACCTTAACAAACCTCTATATAATGAAGTCTTTGGTATAACAAACAATTTTCCTTGCCCCAGCAATAGTAAAACATATGGACAAGAACCTTGATACAACAAAACCTTGTTATAGGGAACATATTTTGCCAGTCCCTAGGCCTCTCGTTATATCAGGTTCCACTGTACATTGTTTATTATCTCAAAAATAAGATGTGGGACCTGGCCATATTTACTTGTGTAATGTTATTGGACAATGGAGTAAAACCTCATAACACTGTATGAATGGATATAAAATTAATGTTTCTTGGTTACGTAATAGTATTTTCCTTTGTGTGTAACATTACACTTATAAGGACATAATAAAATTAAAAGGATAGCTAACAAAACATATTGTCCAGTTGGGTGGGTGGGAGGGGGGTAAGACATAAGAATAGCAAATGCCAACTATTTGGTATAGGCATAACAGTAGAACAAAAACAAAATTGAGCTCATATCCGTCCAATTTAGGATTAAAAAAAAAGAGAATCACTATTTTGGACATTTACATCACAAACCTCTTGCACAACCTTAAAGTTGTGTGCTCTTACCACAACAGGTTTGTCTCTTAAGAAAAATTGAACCTTACATCCATTCTCTAGCAACAGGCTTGTAGTATCTAAAGCAAACAAAAATTGCAAAAACAAAATTGTGCTACCCCTTGTAAAGAAGCTGAGTAACATTGAATAACATAAGCAGCTTTTATCAACAAGACCTGAGATTTAACAAGATTTAACAAGACCTGAAACATAGCACTAATCTACAAACTTTAGCTGCAAGATCACAACTGCACTAAAAATCGTATATACTCCCTAACTGCAAAAATTGTAGAGATCAGCCCCATCAAAATGTGCCCGCAGTTGGTAATTTTGCCACCCACTTTACACAGGAGTTCACTAACACTTACTACTTCTACTCACTTTTCACTTTAGTGTTTAGATCCTGTTTTTAAACTAAAAACCTCTGGGTATTCAATTCTGTAGCTCCTACAGGTACCTTTTCCAAGAGGAACAAGGGGGGATTGAACAGGGGTGTTCTTGTCTAAAATTATGAAACCTAATTTTGCATTTCATGACTCACAATTTGCTTTCATGATTCTGGAGAATGTACATGTATGTATCCTGGCAATGAGTGTGAAGCCTTGGAGCTGAAGGCTCATAGCTGCCGGAGCTTATCCCGGTTCCTGTAGTATGAAGCGGCTAGGAGTATTTCTACTCCCCCTGGACAGGATGCTACAGGATGTAGTCCATCGCAGGTCACTCCCCTGCAATTTGTTAGGTTTCCCCAACAATTCGCCGGTACCCATTTATACTCCTGGGTGGAGAGAGGTACCATGAGAGTTAAGTGTCTTGCCCAAGAACACAACACCGTGTCCCCAGCCAGGGCTCGAACCCAGACTGCTCGCTTCAGGGATAAGCGCACTAACCACGAGGCCACCGTGCCTCCATATGTATCCTGGTAGAATGGACAAAACCTGGACCTCTAGCCGAAAAACCCCTGTAAAGTGATTTTTGATTGAGAGTCCCCTCCACTGACAACACAACAACAGCTCAGTTACCTGCGAAAGTTGCAATGTATAACTATTTTGTGAGTAAGAAAATATGGAGTCCATGGGACGTCCAAGGTCCAAGAGTCCATGGTTTGTCTTGTCCCATCCAGTTTCATGGAGTATCTGATCACAGTTCACAGTTTTTTCTTTTATAGAACTCGCAGGCTAATAAAATGGCCGATCTCGGAGACATAAAAATTCCCTTGCACCCCTCCCCTTTCTTTGCCAGTACCTCTCCCTGAGACTCCCATACCTGAACCCACGGTTAATTTCTATTCGTACAGGCGGTCTTGTTGTTGTATTTTACTTGGTATTTCTCCATAACTCTATGGCTGATGTCTAGCTCTGTCACAACATCCGTTCAGCGTCGTGCCCGACAACTCACGGAGAGATACCGATACCCCAGTGGAAGCAAT